TCTCTATCAAGCCTTGTTTCGTTGCTGATGAGGAACTGGGATCCCCTGCTGAGGGAGAGGCGTTCTGATCTTGGGTATTCCCAGCCTTTTTTGGCTGTTTTCTTCCCTTCGTTGTAGATTTATCCATCTGTGGTCTTTATAATTACCGTCTTTGTAATTGGGTTTCTGAGTGGACGTCCAACTTATTGATTCTCAGCGCCGAAATCTGAGCAACCCACTGCGCCGACCAAATCAGCGGCGTTAAGATGGATGGTGCCTTTCTGACTCTGCACCAAGAACCAACGCTCCAAGGCGCCGGCAAAACCGCCTCGCCGGTCACAAGAGTCGCGCTGGCGACCCGTGGGGCTCCTCCGCTGGGAATCTCCTGGTGCATGAGCAACAAGAATTCATGTGAAGGTGTGGCGTCCTCTTGTTCTTTGCGTTTTCAGTGGGAGCTACAATCCCGAGCTGCTAGTGATCAACCATCTTGGATCTCTCGTGTTTCCCTCTAATAACAAAAATTACTACAGAAAGTTGGTCTTTCTTTTATTTATTTGTCTTTTTTTTTTTTTTTTTTTGAGATGGAGTTTTGCTCTTGTTGCCCAGGCTCCTGGAGTACGATGGCATGAACTTGGCTAACTGCAACCTCTGCCTCCCAGGTTCAAGCAATTCTGCCTCAGCCTCCCAGGTAGCTGGGATGACAGGCATGTGCCACTGTGTCCAGCTAATTTTTGTATTTTTAGTAGGGACGGGGTTTCGTCATGTTGGTCAGGCTGATCTCAAACTCCTGACCTCAGGTGATCCATCCTCCTTGGCTTCCCAAAGTGCTGGGATTACGGGCATGAGCCACCGTGCTCCGCCTGGTTGGTCTTCCTGAAGCATGACTTTAAACATGTCATTTCCCTGTTCAAAAACAACCTTGAGGGTGGGAGGATTAAAAACAACAACAACAACAACAACAACAACAACAACAACAACCACCTTGAGGCCAGGCACAGTAGCTCACTCCTGTAATCCCAGCCTTTGGGAGGGTGAGGTGGGAGGATCGCTTGAGCCCAGGAGTTCTAGACCAGCCTGGGCAACATAATGAGATACTGTTTTTACAAAAAATAAAATTAATCAGGCATGGTATGCACGCCTATAGTCCTAGCTAGTTAAGAGGGTGAAATGGGAGAATTGCTTGAGCCTGGAAGGTCGAGGCCACAGTGAGCCATGATCATGCCACTGCATTCCAGTCTGCGCAATAGAGTGAGATTCTATCTAAGAAAAATAATAAATAAATAAATAATAAAATAAAATAAAGCTTGAAACTCCCCATTACTTCCCCGCCTTGTACAAATAGAATAAAGCCTATCGTGGGTGTGGAGATTTGAGGATGTGACCCCAACAACCTCCCCAGCTACCCTGGGGAGCCCCTTACTGTTTCTGACTCCCCCGAGGCCCCCTTCCCCCAACCCTCAGTCACCCCAGCACTGCCCGTCCCTCCTACCCGGGGTGAATCTGAAGGGACCTCATTCTTCTTGAAAATGGCTTCTAGCAATTGTGTCAACAGGGACAGAGACAACAGACATGACAAATGAATGAACAAATGAGTAACTGTGGGACTGAGCTGCCTTATGTGGTAGAAATTAATTATTTCTGCAAATCAACAGGAAGTTGGCGAAAAAATAACATAAAATAAAAAGAAAAAAAGAAATTATTTCATTAAACAATATTTGTGGAACCCTTAAGGCTAACACTAACAGCTAACACCAGGAGCTCATTGTGTGCTGGGCAGTGTTAAACTCTGCATATATTATCATTTAATCCTCATGACAATCCTATGAAGTTAGTACTATCATAATCCCCCATTTTACAAATGAGGAAACTGAGACTATAAGATGGGAACTCACTGGTCCAGAGCCAAACAGCTTTTAAATAGGGGAGCTGGGCTCTGGAGCAAAGCTGCCTGACACTGTAGCTTGGGCTTCTGACTGTCGCCAAAGGCCAAAAGAATGTTACACGGATGTTTAATATTTGAGTAATGTCAGCCGGGCGGGGTGGCTCATGCCTGTAATCCCAGCACTTTGGGAGGCCAAGGCGGGCAGATTGGCTGAGGACAGGGGTTCGAGACCAGCCTGGTCAACATGGTGAAACCCCGTCTCTACCAAAAATACAAATTAGCTGGGTGTGGTGGCGGCCACCTGTAGTCCCAGCTACTCAGAAAGCTGAGGCAGAAGAATCACTTGAACCTGGGAGGTGGAAGTTGCAGTGAGCCGAGATCACGCCACTGCACTCCAGCTGGGCAACAAGAGTGAGACTACATCTCAAAAAATTTTTTTGTTGAGTAGTGTCAAAAGACCACCTCATGGGAACATGTATAACACCTCCCTAGTTAGTTGGGAGGTTGAGGCAGGAGGATGCTTGAGCCCAGAAATTCAGACTGCAATAAGCCATAATCACACCACTGCACTCCAGCGTGGGCAACAGAGCGAAACCCTGTCTCAAAAAAAAAAAAAAAAAAAAAAAAAAAAAAAAAAAAATGAGGTCGGGGACACATAAGCAATGTCAAGGTAATAGAGTCCAACATCTGAGAAACATGAGAGCACTGACAATGTCAGCATGTCTGAGGAATATAAGGATTTTGTATAATGCTGGCTTAAACAAATATTTATCAACCTACTACATCCATGTCAGGCACTATTTTAATCCACAGGTATAGGGCAATGACACAACACCCCAAAACTGCTCCTCCTCTGTAGCTCACATTCTAGTGGGAGAGAGAGAACTAAACAACAACAACAATAAAATGTCAAAGGTGACAACTGACGAAGGAGAAATAAAGCTTAATCAGAAAAAAGGGACTGTCCAATGTGGTGGGTGGGAGTATGTGGGTGGCATTGCTCCTTTGTATAAGACCAGGAAGACCACCCGTGAGGCGATGTCTGAGCAGAGCAGTGAAGTTAGTGAGGGAGAGGGCCACGCAGTGCTCTGTAGAATTTCCAAACAAGACACAGCCTGTGCAAAGGCCCTCAGCATGCTCAGCCCAGCCCAAGGAACAACCAAGAGGTCTGTGTGGCTGGAGCGCAGAGTGAATGGGAGAGAAGGATCAGGAGGGATTCACAAGCATGAAAGTGCTGAGGCTGATAAAGTCAGGCTCTGCGTAACGCCCCATCTGAAATATATTAACAGATGCAATTGATGGAGTGCATTCCACACACCTGGCACTGCACTCGGTCCAGCTCACACAAAAACTGCTATAGGATCTTAGAGTCAGTCAAAGAAACTTCACAGTGCCATATGACACTACATCAGGGTGCTAGGGAACTACAGAAGAGGAGCATCTAACCCCAACTAATGGGCAAGGAGGCTTCCTGGAGGAGGTTGCATTCAAGCTGTCAAGCAGGAAAAGGAAAACACTTCCGGGATGCAGATGCAGAGAAGGAGGGCAGGCCAGAACCTGGACCAGCTGTGCAAAGCTTCAGCAGCAGTGCTGGGGGCCAGGGCACAGCTTGCTGGAGGAAGAGCTCAGGCTTGCAGGGTCAAGAGAGCCTCTGGACACGGAGGCCCAGGCTTAAGTGCGTTTGTGCAAAATTGGTCATTATGGAGTGGGGGACAAAGAGGAAAAAGGGGTAGGATAAGACTTTGATAATTAGGCTGGACACAGTGGCTCATACCTGTAATCCCAGCCCTTTAGGGGGCCGAGGCAGGCAGATCACTTGAGGTCAGGAGTTGAAGACCAGCCTGGCCAATATGGTGAAACCCCACCTCTACTAAAAATACAAAAGTCTGCTGGGCATGGTGGTGCACGCCTGTAAGCCCAGCTACTCAGGAGGCTAAGGCAGGAGAATCGCTTAAACCTGGAAGACAGAGATTGCAGTGCACCAAGATTGTACCACTGCACTCCAGCCTGGGCGACAGAGCAAAATTCCATCTCAAAAACAAAAAACAAAAAAAAAACTTTGATAATTTGTCTTCCCACCCTGGGCCCTGCTTTCTCCAGGTCTTTCAGAGGGTCCCAGGTGCTAAGAGGGAAGCAAAAAGTAAGTGGCCACCCCCACCTGCCCCAAGTCTTGGTTTCTCATCCCATCCTAGCAGGTTCAGATCCTTCTTTTAGGCAGATCTGTGGGTCCTTGCTCTGGGGCAGCCGAAGGCATTCTGGTAGGAGGGTCCTCAGTTAATAATACCTCACACACTTCAGCACTTCGTGGTCTGCTTTTACTGCCATAACCTGTGTGTCTGACGGTCAATCTAGGATGGACAGAGCTCTGTTCTAAGCCTCTTTTTCACAGGAGACGCTGCAGCTCAGAGAGGTTAAGGGCCTTGCCAAGGCCACGCGGCCAGTGGGTGACTAAACTGGGACTTGATCTCAGCTCTGGAGATTGCAAACCCCATATTGACACTGCAGCAGCTACAGAAAATGAGGCCTGGTGATGGCTGGGTCCCAAGGACACGTCTGGGGAAGGGGGGGGAGAATAAGCCCTGGCATGAGAGGAATGGAACGGGGGAAGATGGAGACAGAGTGATGGAAGCTAAGCATGGAGGCAGGAAGAGAGCTCTGGCAGGGGTTGGAGAGACTTTGAGACAGAACTAGCTGTGTCGCCAGAAAGACCCCGTTAAACGATCCAGCAGGGTTGAAAGAAACAAAAGAGGTGTCTTCCCACCCCATGTCTCTGAAACAAGGCAGGGAGAGACCTACTGTGTGCATTTCACAGGAAAAAGGAGCAAGGAGAGGTGCTACTGGCTTGCCCCAGGCCCACAGGGGCACAGGCCCCCTAGATGCAGGCAGCACCTAACACTTCCAGACCTTCCCCTCTACCGTGGATGATGAAATAGACGATGAGAGGGGAGGTGGAGATGGAGACAGAAATCAGGGCCGCATCCAAAGAGGGAGAGGAAAAGGCAGAGGCGCAGCTGGAGCTGCAGAGAGGTGCAGAGACATTGAAGAGACAGTGGAGAGGGGAGGCCCTGACGCCTGGCTCTGGTTTCACGAGGGCAGCGTCAGCTGATCGGTGTCACGGAGTTCCCGCGTCCCCCGCCCCCTCATCCCCCGCGGATCCATCCACTGGCGTTGCTCCGCAGCGCGACGCTCTCTCGTCCCGAGGGAGGGCAAAGGAGGGAGGTGGGGGAGCAGAGTGGGGAGCGGCAGGAGGGGGGCGGTGCGCGGCCACCTCCCCCCAGGACTCGCGAATCCGCAGCCTCCTCCGCAGCATCTTCCCAGGCCCGGCCCCCTCCTCCCCCCGCGCCGATGGTACGCGCCGGCCCGCCTGGCCCGGCTGCAGTGGATGTTGCTAGAACCCACGCGGAGGAAGGAAGAGACGCAAGCAGGCTGCGGCTACCCAAGCGGCCGCCCCGGCCTCAGGGACCCCTTCCCCGAGAGACGGCACCATGACCCAGGGAAAGGTATCGGCATCTCCCCCGCCTACAGCATCCTCCATCCTCCGGCTCCCAGCTCCCTGTCTCCTCAGCAAGCCCTCTGGACCACGAAAGCATCCTCCCCTGGCCCTAGTTCGAAGGTCCTCCGTGGTCTTTGCTGAAGTCAGAGGACTGAAAGGCCCGTGTCAAGGAATGGACCGGGCCCTCTTCCCGCCCTCCCGCAGGCGCTCCTCTCCTCCCCTGTCTCCCTGCTACCCCAGGCTTTGGCATCACAAGGCTCCTCACAGATGCCCAGGCCCCCCGTGAGGAGTCAGCCTGGACGTCCGGTATGACTGTATGTGTGTGCGTGGGTATGTGTGTGCCAGGGTGAGCCCTGAGGGGTAGTGCCCATCTGGCAACCCTCCTGACCCAACCCTCCAATCCCAAACCCAACCACTCAAAGATATAAGCTTATCTTTCCCACCCTCCGCAGAAACAACCCCACCCCACTCCCTGCCATTAGTCCACATCTGGGTGTCTTGGCTCCATCCCTGTGCTTGGGGCTTGCTATGGCAACACTGCATCCGGATGCTCTAATTGTTGTTTTGGTTCTGGCCGGGCATGGATGGGTCCGGAGGAAGCATCTCTTCTTCTCCAGTTTTAGGCCTGAATTGTAGGGGAGGGGCTGGGGCAGAGACTTGGCTGGCCTAGTAGGCTTATGTAACGTCAGTAGCCTGTGGAATTATACAACCACTAGGGCCTGGGGCTAAGGGGGAGGGTCCTCTGGCCCTCTGTTTGGGGTTGCTGAGGATTGGGCAGAGAAAACACTGGAAGGACCTCCCCAACACTCCCCCTACGTCTCTGAGAGGAGCTTCAGAACCAATGGCATCCTTCCCTGGACCCTCAGACCCTCCTCTCCTGTGTGGGAGCTCTTTGGGCCTCAAGTGATGTCATTGGGTGATACCACTTCCTGCCATTGGTCAGACCTCACTTGGGAGTGCCGTATATGTGGGGGGGACTGGGCATTAGGGTCCAGGAAGCTCTAGGGGGCTGAGTGGCAGGCTGGGGGCTGAACTAGATTTTGGTGGGCCTGATCCTTCAGACCTGGGTGATGAGGAGGGCTGGAGAGTGGGAGGGAATGGGAGGCCTGGGGAGTGTTCAGTTTCCAGCCCCCCCTCCTCTGAGTCTCTCCTTCCACCCCCACCCCACCTCTACCAGGCACTTCATGGCGCTGCTCCCTTCCTGGCATGAGGGGGACCTCTGCCTCCTCTGCCCCTTGTCCCCAGCTCACTCACAGGCTTGCCGGGGGCTGGAGGAGACCCCCTCTAGTTCAGCGGTCCTTGGGTCTGGATGGAACCAGAAGTCTTCTGGTGCGTGTCCGTCTCCAGGTCGCCTCAGCCAGATGCCCCTTGCAAAGAAGGAAGTCTGCATTCTTCCTGAGCGGCCCTTCAGTTCTAGCAGTCTTCCGGGAACCAGACCTAAATCCCATTTTCTGAGAGCCGGACCTTTCGTTGCTGTTTTAATTTTCACATCCCCCCACCTCGGCCCCAATCTTTCCTTCTCTGGCTGCCTCATTCCGGCCCCCCCAGCTCAGGCCCTCCTCCTCTCACCAAAGCCAAACATCTCCACGGGTCGAGGGGCGGGGGCACATCTGAGTATAAATGGACTCAAGTTTCCAACCTGCTGTGGGCACATTTCCCTTTGAGCCTCAGTTTCCTCATCTGTTCAGTGGAGGAAGAGATTCAGCTGAGGCCCCTTCCACAGTGAGTCTGTTCTGGTTTAGGGGAGAGGCTGAGATTCCTACAGGATGAGGCCACAAGGACCCGTAGCCAGAGTCCTCTTGCCCTTCCTCCACCCTGAAGGCCTTTCCTCTTCTGTTTTCTCCCTCTCCTCCTCCCTTTCTGTTGCCTTTCTCTCCCCCATCTCCATTCTCGTTGCGTCATTTCCAGCCCAACAGGAGGAGGCCAATCCCAGTGGATGGTGCCTAGGCCCTGCCTCTCAGTGGGCCACATGCAGCTCTGTGACCTTGGATGAGTCACTGTTCCTCTCTGATCCTCATTCTCCTCATTTTAAAGCAGGGGTCAGAATACAACTAGCAAGTGTCAGGAAGATTGAATGGCAAGACCTTTTATTTGTGACAGTCTACTATGTTCCAGGCCCTTTTCTGGAACCACAGAGGCCCTGCCCTAGGGACAGCGACAGTGACAACCAATGGCGGGCACTCCTAAGAATTTTCTCTTTCCTCCACTCCTGTCCCAGCTCCAGCGTGTGCCCCGGCTAGCCCTGACCCCTCTAGAGCTCAGTTCTCTTGTCTATAACAAAGAGACATTCTTGTCTGCACTCTTGCCTTCTGAGTGCAGGTAAGGAAGGACCCTTGGAAGTTCCAGGAATTGAGGAGTTAGTTGGTGAGGAGGAGTTGGAAGGCTCCCTTTCCCTGGTGACTGACTGTCTCTCTCTGTCTCTCTGTCTCTCTCTCTCTCTCTCTCTCTGTCTCTCTGTCTCTCTCTCTCTCTCTTTTTCTCTGCCCCTACTCCACAGGTCTCCGTGGCTAACAAGGCCCCCGGGACTGAGGGGCAGCAGCAGGCCCATGGCGAGAAGAAGGAGGCTCCAGCAGTGCCCTCAGCCCCACCCTCCTATGAGGAGGCCACCTCTGGAGAGGGGATGAAGGCAGGGGCCTTCCCCCCAGCCCCCACGGCGGTGCCTCTCCACCCAAGCTGGGCCTATGTGGACCCCAGTAAGTCTCTCAACTCCTAGAAACTGGAGCATCATGGTAGGGGTGGGGTGTGGACCCAGAGGGAAAACCTGAGTGGGAGGAAGTTGCCCAGAAAGAGGTGCACTGTGTGGTTGTTGTATGAGGCTGTGTTGTTAGAGGCTTAGGATTTGGAAGACTGTTTTGAGGGTAGGTCAGAGATGATTGCATGAAAAGGGAGAGAGATACAATGTGTGCATCAAGGTGCTCTCTATAGAGAAGAGGGCGGTTTTTTTTCTTTTTTCTTTCTTTCTTTCTCTTTTTCTTTTTTGCTTTTTTTTTTGAGACGGAGTCTCACTCTGTCGCCCAGGCTGTAGTACAGTGGTGTGATCTTGTCTCACTGCAATCTCTGCCACCCAGGTTCAAGCAATTCTCCTGCCTCAGCCTCCCGAGTAACTGGGATTACAGGCACCTGCCACTGTGCCTGGCTAATTTTTGTAGTTTCTAGTAGAGATGATATTTCACCATCTTGGCCAGGCTGGTCTTGAACTCCTGACCGCGTGATCCACCCACCTTGGCCTTCCAAAGTGCTGGGATTACAGGCGTTAGCCACTGCATCCAGCAGAGGGCATTTTTTTCAAGTCACCATGCTAGAGCAAATGGAGGGGACAGATGAGGGAGAAAGGCTGGGGGCTAGTCAGGAAAGACCCTCCTAGAAGAAAGAGATGCAGCAAAGAAGGGTATATGAAGCAGCCACTGGCCACAGCCCTCACTGGGCCTGGCTCCTGTGAGTGCAGGCACAGTGTTTGCGAATTAGCTCATCTGAAACCTCAGTGGGGACAGGTCCCCATGGAGGCCCCAGGGCTGCTGGGGGATGTGGGTCTGGGGACCCACATCACCGATCACTGTCCTCATCTCTGTTCCTTTCCCTGAGTCTGTGCTGGGGCAGGAGGGCATGACACAGGGAGAGTGGGTGCCAGCTTCAGCGTACCCCACACCAGGCTTAATTCACAGGCACACTCACCCAGGTGGATGCCAGCTTCCTGTGGGAGCTGCTATGTTGGGTCGAGCAGCCTGTGGGAGCTTTACCTCAGGGCCAAGAACATACAGCTTCCCAAAAGCTCTGAAGATACCCTCCTTGGCCCCTTCAGCCTCCCTCATCAGCCCCTCCCCTCCCCCACTTTATCACCCCTACCCCTAGCAGAATTCTAGAAGAGATCCCAGAGACAATGCCCCTAGACAGCCTCTGCTCGTAGGGCATAGCCGCCATGGTCCACACCTCCCACTACAAACCCCCTGGGCGCAGACCCCTGAAGACTCACCCCACAGTGACATACTGGAGGGTCAATGAAGGTCTGGTGTTTGTGGGGGTCCTCCTTCCTGCCCTACACCCTCGGGCCCGCTTTCCTTCTCTTTTTCCCTCTGTGGCCTGGCCACTTGGGCTTGGGCAGGGGATACAGACAGGACACAAGGGAGAAATGAAAGAACAAGAGGGCGAGGGTCTCCAGGCCTCAGATTTGCAGTGGGTCTACCTCTCTCCCATTCTTCCTTTCCCATATCCTGGTTGCTAGGACTGCTGCTTTAAGGAATGTTTTCCAAGGAACTGTGGAGGCAGGAAGGCAGCTGTGACAGACATTTACGAAGTGTGTGCCAGGCACAGGGTCTGTGTCTGAGTTTGTTTTGGAGGATGCGTCGATTTGCAAGATCTGCTGGGATCTCTGTCCTCAGAGAGCTGATTGTATAGACAAGTAATTGAACAACTACCACACAGTGAAGCAAATCAGTGACAGATGTTTGGGCACCTTACCTGATCCACCTGTCAGGGAAGGCCTCCTGGAAGAAGGGTATCCACACTGAGTCCCAAAGGCTGGGCATGAGTTAGCCTGGTGAAGAGGCAAGAAAATGAGTGTTTAAGGCTGAAGGAATAGAATGTGCAGGGGTCCAGAGGCAAGAGAACACATGGTCGAAAAAATATACTCAAGTTGAGAAAAAGGTCGGAGGGGAGGAATGTATAGGGGGCTGGAGGGCGCTGCTCAAGGAGGCCGTGGAGGCTTTGTTAAGAAACTTGAACTTGCTGGGCGCGGTGGCTCACTCCTGTAATCCGAGCACTTTGGAGGCCAAGGAGGGCGGATCACCTGAGGTCAGGAGTTCAAGACCAGCCTGACCAACATGGTGAAACCCGGTCTTTAAAAAAAGAAAAAGAAAGAAAGAAAGAAACTTGAACTTGAGTGAAGGGCAGTGGGGAGCCACTGAAGAGCTCAAAGCTAAGGCAATGCCATGGTCAGCTTTGAAAGACCAAGACAGAGGCTATTGCTAGGGGCAAAGGAGGTCATGGAGACCTAGTGGGGACAGTGGAGGGGACAGAATGAATATACGGGAGGACTTGGAAATGGCCCTGATGAGGGGCACAGGGAGAGGGTGAGGCAGGGTAGTTCCCACCAGAGAACATAGGCTTTTATTTCTTTTTTCCTTTTTTTTTTTTTTTTTTTTTTTGTAGGCTTTTATTTCACAGAGCATAGGCTTCCATTTTTATCTCATTTGGTCCCCAGGAGGTGGGTATCACTAACCAGTATCAGCAGAGGCTCAGGGAGGCCAGTAACTTTATCAGGGTCACACATCTAGTCAGTTCTAGGGGAGGGATCCACCCCAGCTCTGGTTGACTATGGTGTCCATGCTCTTCTGAAAGCCTGGGTTCTGGACTAAGCCTGGAACCGTCATACCCACCCCTACTTCTTGCCCTTGTCTTGGCTTTATTTTCCCTCCAGCCCCTGCCCCCCTGCAGCCCTGGTTTCCAGCTGGAGCCCCAGCAGGCCCACCACAGCCAACCAGTCCCCAACTCCCAGCCTAAGGGCCTCAGCGTAAGCCAGGGTCAGGGCTGGGCACAGTGGTTCACACCTGTAATCTCAGCACTTTGGGAAGCCAAGGCACGTGGATTGCTTGAGCCCAGGAGTTGGAGACCAGCCTGGGCAACATGATGAAACCCCATCCCTACTAAAAATACAAAAAAAATCTAGCCAGGCATGTGGTGTGCACCTGTTGTCCCAGGTACTTGGGAGGCTGAGATGGGAGGATTGCCTGAGCCCATGGAAGTAGAGGCTGCAATGTGAGCTGTGATCATGCCACTGCACTCTAGCTTGGGTGACAGGAGTGAGACCCTGTCTCAAAAAAAAAAAAAAAAAAAAAAAAAAAAGAAAGAAAGAAAGAAAAGAATGAGCCCGGGTCAGGATCTTTGCTGCTGGGTGGCCCAGAGAGAGTGGCTGTCCCCCTGTGATCCTTGACGGCAAGGGGGCCAAAATGTCCAAGGAGGAGGGTTGTGGGGAGAGAATATGGGAGGGTTACATTCATATGGCAGAGCCTGGTTCCCAAGAAGCCCCAGATGGGATGGAGGGAGAGGTAGAGAGTGACAGTTTCTTCCCAGGACCCAGAGCAAGAAAAGTGAGAAGTGACCAGGGAGAGAAATCTGGGGGTTGGGGCTGGGCTGGGCTGGGGCTGGGTGTTCGATAATGGGGCTGGAGAGAAAGACTTCAGGGTCCAGAGCGCCAGGTTGACAAAAAGGAGCTTTGAGTTGCTGTCTGTTGGGGACAGTAATTCTACGTAGAGGGAACCCTCATGCCCTCCGCATGCCACACAGGCAGCAGCTCCAGCTACGACAACGGTTTCCCCACCGGAGACCATGAGCCTTTCACCACCTTCAGCTGGGACGACCAGAAAGTTCGTCGAGTCTTCATCAGAAAAGTAATGCCCCTCCCTCGCCCTCTGGGACTAGGAGGCTCAGTGGGGGAGCCCCTGGAGCGGACCCTGGACCAACCCTCTGCCTGCAGAAGCCATCCCTCCCCTCTTCTCTTGTGATCCCAGCTAACAGCTGGGATTTGCTTCCTTGGATGTTACTCCAGTGCCCCCTGCTACACATAAATGCACTGTCCCCTCTTTTCTCCCAATGCTGGGGAGTGCGCTGGGCTCGGCAGCACCATTGCTTTCCTTTCACCTTGCCCTGGGTTCACTCCAGTGACTCCCAAATAGGAGGGTGGAGTGCACAGGATGGGAACCTGGAGAGGTGATTGAGTCGCTGGAGGGCTGACAGGTCTCTAACAGAACTCCCCAAGCTGAGTAGAATCCCCTCCCACTCCCAGGTCTACACCATCCTGCTGATCCAGCTGCTGGTGACCTTGGCTGTCGTGGCTCTCTTTACCTTCTGGTGAGTTGGCAGCATAGACCAGCACCTTCCAGGGGTGTCAATGGCCAGGCCTGGGGCCGGGGAACGCATGATCAGATTCCTGCTGGAATGTGACCTGGAGAGATGCCTGTGGGGCGGTGGGCCTCCTCTTGCTGGGAAAGAGCCTTAGAGAGTGCTGTGGGCGAGGGGTCCTCTGTCCAGTGTGGGGAGGACCCAGGGTACCTTCTGGGTGTCTGTGCAGCAATCCTTCTGCTTCGGTCCACTAGCTGTGCGCCCAGACATCTGCGGGTCCCAGCTGAGGACTGTGGGCTGGGACTCCCGAGCCTCCAGGGTCTGCATTCCTTCCTTCGGCTTCCTCTGTGGGACAGATGCAGATGTTGAACCAAAAATGGAGACCTAGGGTACATTCTGACTCTCTCTCCCTCTCTCTCTTCTCTGCAGTGACCCCGTCAAGGACTATGTCCAGGCCAACCCAGGCTGGTACTGGGCATCCTAGTGAGTATACCCCAGTCCCCTTTCAGAGAAGGCTTAGTGGCCAGAAGAGGGAATCTCTGTATTTTTTTTTTTTTTTTTTTGAGATGGAGTCTCCCTCTGTTGCCAGCCTGGAGTGCAGTGGCACTTTCTAGACTCACTGCAACCTCCGCCTCCCAGGTTCAAGCAGTTCTCCTGCTTCAACCTCCCAAGTAGCTGGGACTGCAGGCGCCTGCCACCATGCCTGGCTAATTTTTGTATTTTTAGTAGAGACAGGGTTTTGCCATGTTGGTCAGAATGATCTATATCTCAGGCCTGGCCATGGCCACCTGACCTCGTAATGTACCCACCTCGGCCTCTCAAAGTGCTGGGATTACAGGTGTGAGCCACTGTACCCGACCTGTGTCTTTCTTGGCCGAATCTGAGCCTGTAGCTTCTCCCAGCCCCATAGGGACTGTTGTCACAGATCCCCTCCAACCCTGCCCCATTCTGCCAGCTTCAGAGCAGGGCCAGAAGGACCTTTCTGAGATGTTAAATCTGATGGGGCACAGAGGCGATGGGGGTAGGTTCTGCTGCCTGCACAAATTGGGAAGGGTTGGGCTGGGGCTGTAGCTAGAGAGATCCAGACCTCGGTCCTAAGAGGAAGTGGGACTGGAACAATTTGGCCTACACTAATGATAATGTTGCTACTCTTATTAATGTTGTTATTAATGCTTATGAAATATTAATCATAATAGTTACCACTTAAAGAGTGCTTAAAAAGGTCTGGGCACTGTTTTGTGTGCTTGACACAAAACGTGTTCGGTCCTCACATCTACTGGGTATGATTAAAGTTCAGAGAAATGAGGAATTTGCCCAGAGTCACACAGCTAGTCAGTGGCAGAACTGGGATTCAGACCCAGATTCAGGTTAAGGCTTGTGTTCTTAATCCATCCACTTGGCAGGCTCCCTGCAGCCCTCGAGCCACTTGGCTCCCGCTTGTCCTATATCCTTTGAGGGACCCGGACGGTAACTTGGGAGAGGAGGTTTGAAGGTGTAGGTGATTCTGATCCTCCTTTCTGGGTAATTAAGGGGTCATCCTGGATATCTCCAGGCCAGAACCATCCTGGGGCTCACAGCAGAACTGCTCTTGCACTCACCATGAGCCCAGCCCTGTACTGGGGCTGCAGGAGCAGAGGCCTCTGCAGGGGAAGTTATTGGGTGGCCCAAGGCAGCATGAACAGATGCAGCGTTTGGAGAGGGAGGAGGAAGGAGTGAGCCTCTATACCGGCACACACAGCCCACATCAGGGGTGCCCCTCGAAGGATGGGCCAGTGAAGACTGGAGACAGCGTTCCCAGGAGAGAAGTGGCTTAACATGGGGCGAGAATGCACGTGGTACATTTGGTAAACTGGGACTTCTCTGGCAGAGGGCTGGAAGGCTCCATGCAGGGGAATTCCGAGGCATCCTGGAGAGCAGTGGGGTCTTGTGGAGTTGAGGTTCTGACTGCCTGGCCAAGGAGCTTGCGCACTGTGTCTGTCCCAAGTCTGTTCCTGGATGGGGCTCTGGTGGGGAGATGGGCTCAGCCCAGAGCCAGAGCCCAGAGCAGCCTCAAAGATAGGCCTAGAGTTCACATGGGGCCCACCAGAGGCTGATAGTAGGGACCTTCACCTGGCCTCTGGGGATTCCAGAGTCATTCCTAGGGCAGAGGATGGAGGAGGGCCTGTCTGCAGGCAAGCAGGGAGACATGTGTCTTGGGGAACTGGGAGGTGCTGTACAGTAGAGCTAATGAGGCCCCAGAGACTACTACCTGGGCCAGCCCATGTGGCAGGTTGGCATGGCTTCTGGTGCGTCAGCACTGCTTGGCAGCCTTAGGCCCCTGAGAACTTGGGAATGGATTCTTATGCCCCTCTCTGAGCCTTCTGGGGGAGAGTCTGTGGGGGTCTGCCCCAAGCAGGTGGTAGCAGGGAGACAGCCCAGGAATGAGCAGGCTCAGCGGGGCAGAGTCCATTCCATTGGGTGGGATGGGGGTATTGGGAGGGTGGAGTGTGGAGTCCCTCTTCTTCAACATCTCTGGGCAGAAAACAGAGATGCTCTCTCTGCATCTACCAGGGTGGGTACTGGCAGAAGTGGGAGGTGGGCGTGGACTGGGCACTTTCCAGAGGGTGCCCCAAAGCGTGAAAGGTGCTTGGGAGTTTCTCCAATGGGATGCTGCCCTTTTCCACCAAAAAACCTGCCTGGGGTCCTGCCCTGCCCTGTCCCATCCCCATCCCTCAGCTCTCTCCATCCTACCCTCTGAGTCAGCCTTGTGTCTGAGTGCTGGTGGGTCTCACCTCCTGCAACACATCATGTGCTCCCCAAGGACTCCATCCTGGTCTCTTCCTTTTAGAATAACAATAGGAGAATTGAGAATCAGGCAGCTCTCTTTCTGTAAGGAAGGCACCGTGCTAAGCACTTTACGTGTATTTTTTGTTTGCTCTTTCAATAGCCCAACCAGGCAGACAGTGCTGTTATACTCATTTTACAGATGAGGAAAATGAGGCTCAAAGCAGCGTAACCAGGGAAGAAACTCAGATCTTTCTGATGGTGGAACTTACCCTCTGTGTTCTGCTGCCTCCTTTGTCTTAGAGCAGGACAAGCTGGGGGAAGGCAGTGGGTTTGGATCCTGGCCTATGCCTGAGCCTCACTTCCCTGTCCTGACATTCTGTAAACAGACTATGGTTCCTGCCCAGGCCCTGGGGCTGCGGCTCTGATGCATAAATCAGTGGTTCTCTCACTTCTTAAGTGACTCATTGCCTGGCCCCTGGGCTGCCAGCCTCCTCATTCCCAACTCACAGCCCAGCTTTTTCAAGGCCCTAGACGCCTCCCTCCATCGGTTCTCACTTTATTGTCTGATTGCGCCCACTGAGCTACTGTGCCTGCCTACGGTGGTAGAAGGCTGGTAGGCCAGGGAAAACCCAGGCAGAGGAGGAAAAGTGTGAGACCAGAAATGGGTGGAGGTGGGTCAGAGCCTTTCCAGGAAGCTGTCCATCAGCCAACTTCTAATTATCATAACTCCCGTGGGGAGTCCTTCCGCTGTGCCAGGCCCACGCAAAGCGCTTGAACTGTGTTGTCTCATCAGTCCTTCCAACAGCCCAGTGAGTTGGTACCAGTGTTTCTGTTTTGCAAAGGTGGAAACTGGGTCTTGGCTAAGGTCACACAACAGTAGTGGCAGAGCTGGGATGTGAATGCGGGGTGTCAGGCTCCCAAGCTGCACCACAATCCTAGGGTCTTTGGCCCTTCTGCCTGTCCGCTGGACCCCTTGTCTTGAAAGTTGAAGAGCTATGAACCACAGAGAAAAGGAGGCTGGGCTCTTGTCCTCAGGAAGCTTCCAGTCTGGCTGGGGAGATAGGACCCACACCCACATGGACACGAGTATTATTTAGATTATTGCTGAAGTGGCTGACCAATGACTCAATCGAGACTGAAAGAGCAGGTGCTGAGTGTTTCCTAAGTCTGGCAGGATGGCTCTGCTGTCCCGCATGGAGCAGGATGTTCAGCAGCCTCTGGTACCAGCTACCAGAAGAGCCCTCCGGTCACTGTAACAACAGTTTCTCATTATTTGAAAACCACTGAAGACCAGGAAAGGGTTAACTTGAAGGGGTCCTACTCACCGAATCCAATACGCTTGTCTCAATTGCATCTCTTGTTTTGTGTTTTGGGTCTGTTTTTTGTTTTTTTGAGATGGAGTCTTGCTCTGTTGCCCAAGCTGGAATGCAGTGGTGTGATTTCAGCTCACTGTAACCTCTGCCTCCCAGGTTCAAGTGGTTCTCCTGCCTCAGCCTCCCAAGTACCTGGGATTACAGGTGCACACCACCCCCGCCCAGCTAACTTTTGTATTAGTAGGGACAGGGTTTCACCATATTGGCCAAGCTGGTCTCGAACTCCTGACCTTGTGATCTACCTGCCTCAGCCCCCCAAAGTGGTGGGATTACAGGCGTGAGCCACTTTTTTTGCATTTCATTCAGAAATATTTGAAGAGCACTTACCAGGCGCCAAGCTCTGGGTCAGATGGTGGGAATAGAAAATTAATAAGTTGCAGGCTGGCCCCCAGATGCTATACCTGGGTGGGAAGTGAGAGGAGCTGGTCTGAAGGATGCGGGGGCTCAGGCTTTGGTTGAGGCATGCCTGTGGGGCACAGGGGTTGCCCCTCTCTAACCCAGACCTCAAGTGTCCTTGCCAGTTAGTCCCTTCCAGCAGGAGCAATGTGGCAGACATGTTTCCAGGGAGCAAAGCAGGTTGTGATGAGAGGGGTGGAGTGGAGGGGCGGAGTGTGGTGAGAGAAGGGCTGAAGGGGTGGGTGGGAATGGATTGTCTGATTGCTTAGGCAGGGCATTACCAGGTCTTTGGGAATTTTATACAGGGAAGTCACCTGATTGGATTTGCCTGCAGCAGGAGGGCAGAAGGCTGGTGGGCTCCTGCAAGGGTCCCAGCCAGAGAGAGAGAGGTGCCCTGACCTCAAAGGGTGGTAGTGGGGATGGAAGGAAGAGGGCAGCTTTGAGAACTGCCCGGGTGGGAAGATCAGCAAGTCCAGGTGATTAATTGGGCATAGCAGGGTGAGAGTTAAGGATGACGCTGAGGTCTCTGATTGGGTGACTTGGAGGGTACATGACATCCTCTGCAGGTGGGAAAGCAGGAGATGGAGCAGGGGAGACAGGGAGCTCCCCTGTAACCTCTTGAGCATTACTTGTGTCTGAATAGTCATGTCTGCCCAGTAGGCAGTTGGAAACTCGAGTCCAGGGTTGAGAAGGAAAATACAGATCAGAAATATGGGTAAGCAAGTCATATAAATGAGTGAGCCCACATAGGGAGAGCATGGGGCAAGCGCTGGAGAGAACTCCACATCAAGGGAACCACGCAGACTGAGAGAGACCCCGGAGGGACCAAGGAGTAGTGAGGGAGGTAGGAGGGACCCAGGGGTCATGTGGAACCAGGGAAACAATGATAGTAACCAGATGCTGAGAAGCCAGGCAAGGTAAGGACTGACAAGTATCCGCTGCACTCAATAAGGTCCCAGTGATGTGGCGAAGCCGGCTCCCATTGAGTAGTGCTGAGGCTGTGTGTGTTGGGTTGGGAAGACGGAAGAGGGGCATGGTGAATAGAGACCACTTTTTCAAGAAGCTTGGCTGCAAGAGAGGATAGAGTGGCAGTAGCTGGAGCAGGGAAGGTGTTGGTTGAAGATGGAAAACAGCTGAGGAGGCTTGTGTGTGAGGAGAGGTACCAGTGGAAAAGTTTAAGTCAGGCATCCCCAAACTTTTTACACAGGGGGCCAGTTCACTGTCCCTCAGACCGTTGGAGGGCCGCCACATACTGTGCTCCTCTCACTGACCACCAACGAAAGAGGTGCCCCTTCCTGAAGTGTGGCGGGGGGCCGGATAAATGGCCTCAGGGGGCCACATGCGGCCCGCAGGCCGTAGTTTGGGGACGCCTGGTTTAAGTAATGGAGATCTCCCGGCAATGAAGAGGGTGGGAGGATTGGCCTGGGACGGGAGGAGGCACAGGAGGGCAAGTAGCAGCACATGCTAGCTGCAGGTGGCAGGCAGGGAGCCAAGGGAGCCTACCTCATCTCCAGTCTTTCTGGTGCACCTGAGGCAGACTGCAGGAAGAGTGAGGGGGCCTGAGAGGTTTGTGGATGGAGGAGGAAGCTTGAAATTGTGGGTGACGGGTGAGAGAACCAAGAAAGGAGACGGGAAAGCACGGCAATGCTATGTTAAAGGCCCATTGGGGGTTGGAAACTATGCATTCGTGGCATCGCTAACCTAGGTAAGCATGGGCAAGCCCCACCCTTGGGTCTCCAGCCATCATCTCCCACCTCCTGGACTGGCCTCTGCCCCCACTACTCAGAAAATTCTCAATCCTCCATCTCTAGCTCTGGATTGCTTCCAGGCAGAGATTGCACCTGCCAGCCTCCCACTAGACATGGCCTCCTGATCCAAAACTTCATGCAACAGGTGCCACTTCCTGCTTGTGCCAGGGGCTGGCAGGACAGACAAGGGCCCTACCCTTGCTGAGTTTACAATCTAGTAGGCTAGATCAACAATAAGGTAACTAACAAGATCACTCCAGGTAATGATGAGGCCCGAGAAGGGCCTGAATGGGGCAGTGTGTGCAGTGGCTATGTGCAGGGACTCTGGAGCCAGAATGCCTGGATTCTCATCCTGCTTCTGCAGCGTGGTAGCTAGATGGCCTGGGACAAGCCGCCTGACCTCCCTGTTCTCAGCTGTAAAGATATGAGGATTATATTTGTTGATAATTCATGAAACACTTAAAACTGCCTGGCACATGGAAAATGCTGTACATGGGCTTTGCTTTTTTTTTTTTTTCTTCTTGAGCGGAGTTTTGCTCTTGTTGCCCAGGCTGGAGTGCAATGGTGGGATCTCAGCTCACCGCAACCTCTGCCTCCTGGGTTCAAGCAATTCTGCCTCAGCCTCCAGAGTAGCTGCGATTACAGGCGTGCGCCGCCATGTCCAGCTCATTTTTTTTTTTTTTAGTAGAGATGGGGTTTCTCCATGTTGGTCAGGCTTGTCTCAAACTCCCAAACTCAGGTGATCCACCTGCCTTGGCCTCCCAAAGTGCTGGGATTACAAGCATGAGCCACTGCACCCAGCCTATATGGGCTTTTAAAATAACAAGATAGGCCGGGCACAGTGGCTCACACCTGTAATCCCAGCACTTTGGGAGGCCGAGGCGAGTGGATCACCTGAGGTCAGGAGTTTGAGCCTGGCCAACATGGTGAAACCCTGTCTTAAAAAATAAAATAAAATTACAAGATAGTGTCTGGGGAGGCCATTTTGGATTGGGTGGTCAGGAACAGCTGTCTCATGTGACCCAAGATTCCTTGTTTTTAGAAACAGGCTTGTCCCATCCTCCTGCTCTCTTTTGGAACTAGATTGACACCCTGCCCACTGCCAGGTTCTGGGATGACCCCATCCCTTTCTGCCCGGCTGCTCTCTGGGCAGGGGGTGGCAGAGAGTGGCATGAGCAGGAGGTCTGGGGGAAGGGCCACAGGAGGGGCTGGCTGACTCACCCGTCTGTCCGTCTCTCACAGTGCCGTGTTCTTTGCAACCTACCTGACCCTGGCTTGCTGTTCTGGACCCAGGTATGATAATGGCTTGAGGAGGAACTTATGGGAATATGAGCAGGATCATGAAAGTTCTGGCCCCAGCGCTGCCTGCCACCAGTGAGGTGCGCACCCCTGAGAGGGCCCCATCCCTCTCTGGGCCTGTGTCAAGCAGGCCAGCCCCTCCCTCCTTTACTTGGTGCCTCTGAGGTAGGGAGAAGGGGGATGGAGCGGGGGCACATGGGGATGTGGCTGGAAGAAGAGGCTCTGAGGAGTATGGAGGGGGCTGGTCAGAGACCCTCCCTGCATCGGTGACACAGCCTGCACCCACTGCTCCCCGACACTCTCCCCTGAACTCTGTGGCTTGCCTTGCAGGAGACATTTCCCCTGGAACCTGATTCTCTTGACCGTCTTTGTAAGTGATCTGGGGTGTGCTGAGGACAGATGCCGAATGGGGATGGAGGAAGGAGAGAAGTAGGGTGGATTGAGGACCAGGAAGTCTGGGCTGGGGATGTCCAATGTGAGATCGCTGCGAGGGCAGGCGTGTTTTCACCCCACTTCTTCCGCAAACACAGTCCACCTTCTCTTTCCAAATGGGCTTAATCTGGCCCTGCTCCCTATCCACTGTCTTTTTTCGTTGTGACTTCTTAAAGGGGGTTATTTGAGGCATCCTAGAGCTATGGTAATGAAGAAGAGTGGGGGGTGGTCTTAGAAGCGGGGAGCATGGCTGCAGAAGAAAGGAAGGCAAAACTGGTACAGACCCTGAAGCTGGCAGTGGGGACACGCTTAGCCAGGCCTGACTCCTAAAAGTCAGTGTGCGTGGGGGTGACGGAGATAAAGAGTTAAGGGGTACCTGCTAGGGGTGGAGACTTGGGCTGGATCTTACGGGTGCCTAGGAGCCCACAGTCTGAGTTTGGAGCATTCCTTCACCCTGCTTTTCCTTTCAGACCCTGTCCATGGCCTACCTCACTGGGATGCTGTCCAGGTAAAGGGAGCAGGTAGAAGGAGAGGAGGACCATAGGCCAGGCTTGGAGCCAGGCCCCGGCCACAGCCGGGGGGAGCTGCCCCCACACACCATCCTTCCTGGGAGCATGTGGATGGTGCTGGAGGCTTTGGTCTAGGGTCCTCTCTTTGAGCATTCAGCTGAACAGTGACCCCAAGACCTGGCCTGGTGGATGGGGGGTGGGGAGCAAGGTGCCCCCTCCCAAACTGTAGCTTGCAAGCCCCCAGACCAGGACCCACCATTACTTGTAAACCACCTCCAGGCCCAGCACAAACCCCTCCCCACTCCTACTCCCACCTCGTCAAGATCCTTCTAACTTGATTTTGAGTCTAGACCTGTTGGGAGGGGCAGGGCCCAGAAGAAAGGCTGGAGAGGCAGACAGAGGGATCTGGGGAAAGGGTACCAGGTTGGGGCCACGGGTCCTGAGACCAGGTCCTCGCAGAAGGTGGGGGGCTGCTAGGAGGGTGGGGGAGACCAGATGCCCCGCCCAGGAAACTGACCCCTTGGCCTGACGGTCCTCAGCTACTACAACACCACCTCTGTGCTGCTGTGCCTGGGCATCACGGCCCTCGTCTGCCTCTCAGTCACCGTCTTCAGCTTCCAGACCAAGGTCAGCTCTGGGGCCTGCGGACAGGGACCCCTGGCCTGAGGCTGAGCGGGGGAAGGCAGGTGGGGTGAGGGGCTCAGAGCTCAGACCCAGGGCTTCGGAGAGAAGTAAAGCAGAGTGAGTTGGGACTGGGGAGGACACCTGCTGAGGGGGAGAAGGGGAAGGAATGCCAGGTTCTTGGGGTGAGCACAAGACTGTGGCCTGCTGTGTGGGCTCAGCCTGTAGTTGGGGCCCCAGGAAGGCCAGGCCGCTCGGGCAGCTGACCCCTTCCTGTCCCCGCAGTTCGACTTCACCTCCTGCCAGGGTGTACTCTTTGTGCTGCTCATGACTCTTTTCTTCAGCGGACTCATCTTGGCCATCCTCCTACCCTTCCAATATGTGAGTCTCTGGGTCCTGTGGCAGGCCCCATGGGGAGGGAGGGGCCCCACTGGCCCAAGGTGCCAGTGGGAAGGCCAGGAGCCAAGGCTCCAGAGCCTGCCATCCTTCGCCCCCTGTCCCCCCGCCCCGCCCCAGCACCTGCCCCGGGCATGCTGGCAGTGTAAGCAAACAAGGAGGCTTTTCTTGGCAGGCCTGGCTCCACAAGCCACATCCGGCTTCACTTTTCCCATCCTCCTCTGTGGGGTGGAGGTGAGGCCGAGGGTAGGGCGTGGGGCATTTAAACCCTGGGCAGGGAAGGGAGCACTGGGGCTCCATGAGGCTCACTAGACCCAGAGGGACCTTGAGGAAGGGTCTTCTGGGAGCTCCTGGGGAATCAGCCAAGTCCAGAGAGGCAGAATCTAGCTGGCCATGCAGGCGGGAGGTGGGGCAGTGGGGCTCAGAGCATACCCTCATCCTTAGAGCATCCACCGGCTGGTGGCCAAATCTCCACTCTTTTAGAAGCATCCAGCCTGCCCTGGGGAATCCAACTGAGACTCTGAAGGCTCCCGGGTCCCTGAATGTAGAGAATGGGCAGATTGGGGGCATCACAGGAAGCCCTTGAGGTCTGAGTCCTGGGAACCCAAGAGATGAGCTGTTGGACTGCTGGGGGCCCAGTGCTTATCCCCCCTCACCCCCACAGCCACACATGGTACATGGTCCCCCACTGCCCTTTTCTAGCAGAGCTGGGAGCAGTAGTCCTCACTCCCCCTCCCTGCCTCCATCCTGCCCAGCCCCAGCCTCCGGGCACTTGGCATCACATCCAGGACATCAGGATCGGTGCTGGCATTTCCTTGGCTCTTCTAGGATCCTGTTGACAAAGGGAGGGCTGGAGCTGGCCTGGGGGCCCTCTGTGTATCTAGGATGGGGAGGAGGGCTACAGGAAGGGGCCACAGAACTTCAAAGAACCCTTTATTGACCAGGTCTGCTTGATGGGATGCCTTTGTTTCCGAGTCTTCTGGAGGAAGGCCCCATGGAGGGCCCTAGTGAGGCCCCTCCTGCAGAGTTTCCCCCACAGCTGGCTGCCCCTGGAGGGAGACTGGGGGCCTGAGGGCTGGGGGTGCTGTTTCAGCCTGTGCAGGCGAGTCCATCATGCACAGCTGGCAGAAACTCTAAGATGCCCCCCACAGACACCCCTGAGATCAAGTCTTTGTCCCTTTATACCTGAGTTCCTTGCCCCCAAGGCAGAGCCCAGAAGTGCCCTGACACAAGACAGACAGACCCTACGCAGCACAGGGATGAGCACACACTGGGAGGCGGGAGCAGCCTCAAGCAGTCCCAGGCTAGGGCGGGAACAGGGCCCACCAAGAGTCATCTTCATCTGCCCTGAGCCCGGAGCTGTGTCCTGTGGGAAAAAGGATGGGTGAGGTGGGGGGTGGACAGGGGTGGGGGAGTGCTCCCGCCAGTCCAACCAGCATCACTCTTATTCCAGGGCTCCCTTCACCCACTCTGGCACAAAGAGAATCAGGGGCCCCTGTCAGTCCTGGGTCTCCTTAGGGAGCGCTGGGCAGGGCTACCCCACGGCCTCCATTCTCCAGACTGAGCCCTCCTCTGCGCCCCTCTGACTGCTGCCCCTTCTTACCATTCCTAAGCGCATTTTTCCTCTGCCGCAGGTGCCCTGGCTCCATGCAGTCTACGCGTCGCTGGGAGCGGGTGTGTTTACATTGGTGAGTGTGGCCTGGCTCCTTGGCAGCTGCCTCCCCAGCATCCCGACCCCAGTCCCCTTCCCTCCCGTCTTCCCCCAGTCCTTCTCCCTGGATCCTCAGGAGCACTGCGGGTGGAGCTAGGCTCAGTGCTGCGTTTGTTAGGGGAATTCTACCTGGGTCTCCAGGACAGACCAGCTGACCCAGGCAGGAGGGAAGGAAGGTTGTAACAGCAGAATGGAAGCTGTAGACAGAAGCAGAGCTAGAAGAGTCCCTTCCTCCAAGGGAGGGTCAGCTCTGCTTGTGGGAGCGGGGGCAGGAGGGCATCCTGGCCATGTGGACCAAGTTAGTAGTTACCCTCCTAGGGGGAATCGGGAAAGGCTTCTTGGAGCTGGGGAGATTCCAAGTACCCTTGGAGAGACACTGTTAGATTAAGCTTGTTCTTTGCTGTTCTCATGAAATTGAGAATGTTCATGATGATGATTACAATTAGGATAACAGGAACAGCTAATATTTATTGAACACTTGCTTCCCCCCAGCCAGCTCTCCATGTGCATTTAATCTTCATCATAGCTCTATAAGATAGGTTCTACCATTAATACATTAAGATGGGGAAACTGAAGCTCAGAGATATCAAATAACATGCCCAAGGTCACACAGCATCCTAGGAGGTGGTAGGGGCCAAACTGAGAAAATGGACAGTCTGGTGTGAGTCCCAGTTGGGGTCTAAGGCTAAGTGGGGCATGGCTGGAAACAGATGCCCAGGAGACAAGAAATAATCAGGGACAAGGCCAGGCACAATGGCTCAGGCCTGTAATCCCAGCACCTTGGGAGGCCGAGGTGGGCAGATCACGAGGTCAGCAGGTCGAGACCATCCTGGCTAACACGGTAAAACCCTGTCTCTACTACAAACACAAAAAATTAGCCAGGCATGGTGGCACGTGACTGTAGTCCCAGCTACTCAGGAGGCTGAGGCTAGAGAATTGCTTGAACCTGGTAGATGGAGGTTCCAGTGAGCCGAGATCGCATCACAGCACTCCAGCCTGGGAGACAGAGGGATACTCCATCAAAAAAGAAAGAAAGAAAGAAAGAAGGAAAGAAGGAAGGAAGGAAGAAGGAGAAAGAAGGAAGGAAGGAAGGAAGGAAGGAAGGAAAGAAAAAGAAAAAGAAAAAGAAAGAAACAAAGAAAGAAAGAAAGAAAAAAGGAAGAAAAAAGAAATGACCAGGAACAGACACCTGCCTGGAGCTGCCCAACACAGGCCTGCTCAGGTGGGCTCCACGAATCCCAGTGTGATCCTGTTTCAGGACCCACCCAGGAGGGCAAGCTTGTGTTGGTGACATCCTCTTGGAAAGGCATTCAAGGTCAACATTTATTGACAATGGAAGCAGTGACCAGACTCTCCCCTCCCTCGCTGGAATGTCCAGCTCAATTCCAGTGGCCAGAGTTGCAGCCTAATCCAGGTTTCAGAGGCTTGGGGCGACAGGCTGAGGGAGCTGAAATGGGGGAAAGGGTGGGGTCAGAGCTGTGAGCAGAGGTTTTGGGGGGTTTAGGTAGGGATCAAGCCCGAGTAGGGTGTGTCAGGTTCATTCATGCATCCTTTCCATGGTCTTTATAGAGCACCTACTGTGTGTGACATGCAGGGTGGCTGCCCAGATACCCGGTCAGCCGGGAGAGCGCAGTGCATGCCACAGAGTAGCACGCAGTCAGTACTGTAGAATGGATAAATGACCTCAGGCTTGGAACTGGAGGGCTGGGATCTAGTGACACGCTCAGCCTTCTTCTTACAGATGAGAAAACTGAATTCCAGAGAAATGGAATGATTTGTCCATGGTTTCCCGGTGAGATAATGGCTAAATATGGCCTTGAGCAAGACTAAGGTGTCTGCTTAGCACAGGTCACCTAGGCCTTCCCCAGTTTCAGCACCGAAAGCCCCACTTCTTGAGGAGCCCCTAAATCCTGGGCACACTGGGAGGCTGGTCACCCTAAGACACTAACTTTTCGCAGCTCCACACCAGTGCCCTTCCCTGCAGGCAATACTTCCTAAAGAAAGGTTTCAAAGGATGCAGTGGGGAATTGGACTCGGAGAGAAAGAAGAGGGCCGCATAGGGAGAGCCAGCCTGGGCAACAGCGCCTGGAGGCTCTAGAGGGTGGCATTTGCAGGGAACAGAAGAGAAGTCAAGCCAGGGCAGACGGGCTGGTGATGGTGGAGGCAGTGAGCACCCGTGGGGTCCAGCCAGGGAGTGTACTTGGCTTCCCGTGGACCAGGTTCCAGTGAGCATGTGAACTCCCTGAGGAAGCCATGCATGCCAGTAGGGCTGGGTGAACAGTAATCCCTTAAATTTGTTTGATAAGCCCTAGTGTTATTAGAATAATAACACTAGTCTCCACCCTCCGTTCCACACTTTACAGTTACCAAAGCACTTTCACACCTCTTACCTCACTGAATCTCCACCACAGTCCAGTCGGGGGCCGGGGGCAGGCAGCCTTGACGCTGTGAGATTTGTTTCCACATCTGAAGCCCTGGGTGTGAAGGGGCTGGCACAGAGTCTTATGGCCAGAAACAGGCAGATTGAGGACCAGGACCTAGACGTCCTGTGCCCAGCCTGGTGCCATTTCCAGTGCCCTCTGGTTCCCTTCAAAGAGGACACCTTCTGTGGTTCTGTTGGCCTGGAGTTGGGGAGAGGCTGAAAAGGTCTCTCCAAGACTTTCTCTCTCTCTTTCTCTCTCTCTCTCTCTCTCTCTCTGTCATCAGTATTGTCCTCTCTATGGAGTAGTCCCATTAGCATAAGCACATGCTGCAATTTTTCCCATCTGAAAAAAACCCACAAAACACTCTTGACACACATCCCCCTTCACACTCCTGCCCCATTCCCTGCTCCCCATATACAGCGACACTCCTTGTAAGAGAACCGACACTCACTCTCTCCAGTGGCTTTCCTCCCTCTCTTCTTCTTCCCTGCTCTCCTCATAATTCTCCCATTCTCTCTCTCTCTTTTTTTTTTTTTTTTTGAGACAAGGTCTCACTCTGTCGTCCATGTTGAAGTGCAGTGGCGCGATCTCCACTCACTGCAACCTCTTCCTCCGGGGTTCATGCAATTCTCCTGCCTCAGCTTCCTGAGTAGCGGGGACTGCAGGCACATGCTACCACACTCAGTCAAATTTTTTGTGTTTTTAGTAGAGATGGGGTCTTGCCATGTTGGCCAGGCTGGTCTTGAACTCCTGACCGCAGGTGATCCTCCTGCCTCAGCCTCCCAAAGTGCTGGGATTATAAACGTGAGCCATGGTGCCCGGCCATTCTCTTGATCCTCTTAAACACATCTCACCAGGTCATGGGGAACTCTGCGTGGCTGAATCCAGGAACCCAGTCTCAGTCCGCATCTTGCTGGACTCCCTGCAGTATTGGACACAACTGTTCCTCTCCTCCCCCGCCCTCCCCAAACCACCTTCCTCCCATGGTGTCCAGGCCACCACCCACCCGGGCTTCTCTGCAGCATTCCTGATCCTGCAGCCGTTGGCCTGACTCTTCTCTTCCTACGCTGCTCCCTCAGGACCTCAGGCAGCCTCAAAGCTTTGAATGCCATGTCTTATGCTGATCACTCTCACATTTACATCTCTAGCCCAGATCTCTCTCTTGAATTCTAGACTAGAATTTCTAGTTCCTAGTGAGGGCCAACATGAGGAAGTCTCACAGGCACCTCGGACTTTACATATACAAAACCAAGCTCCTGCCCCTTCCCCTGGATGCCTGCTTTTCCCAAAGCCTTGTCCATCTTCCTGTCACTCAGGATAAATATCTTGGTGACACCTTTTACTCCTACCCTCTCCTCACCCCCCACATCACACCCCGCATCAATGCTGTGGCTCCAGCTCCCGTGCAGAATCTGACCACTTGTCTCTGGCCTCATAGCTACTCCCTGTCCCAGTCCCCGTCGCCTCCAGCTTGGATTGACTATTGCCATGGCCTCCTCCAGGCTGCCCCTGCACCCCATGTCCATGCCAGCACAGCAGTTGGAGTTGTTAGGTCCCCTCCATTCCTCCACTGAGCATCCAGCAATTACCTCCCATAGCCTATAGGCCCTCTCTGACCTCCTGCTTCCCTCTGCTATAGCCACACTGGCGTCGTGCTGCCCCAGCCTGGCAGGCTCTCTCCAAACCTGGGGCCTTTGCACCTGCTTCGATCTGTTCTTAGTGTCTGCTCACAGCCCTCTCTCCCACCCTGCAGGTGTGCGCAGCTCTGTCCCTCCCTCCCTGTCCCTGCTCTGTTTCTCTCTGTAGCACATCTCATCCTGACACACCGTGTATTTTTCTGATCTGTTGCTCACTATCTCTCTCCCTCCAGCAGAATCCAAGTTCCCTAAGGGCAGGAATTGTAGCCTGGCTTATTCATCACTGCAGCCCCAGTGCCCAGAACAGGGCCTGATACATAGTAGGCAACCAGGAGATGTTTGGGACATGAATGGATGACCGAGGTGTGGCAGGGGGCAGGGCCGGGTCCACAGAGGTAGACAGAGCCAGGCAGAGAATACACAGGCGAATTCAGCACTGCCCGTCAGTCTTCCGTGAGTCACAGGGGAGGGGGAGCCACAGTGCCAGTTATCTCATTAAGAGATCAACACGCCAAAAGGCCTTGGTCGGGATCATCCTGCAGATTATAGAAACAACAGTGGAGAGCACGGGGCCAGTCACCCGATCCCCTGCCCGTGTGCATCTGCAGCTCCCCTGGGGCCCATGGGGCAGGGGAGTGTTGAGGAGAGCGGCTTCCAGATTCATTCCCCTTCCCTCCTCTCAGTTTCAGGTAGAGAAGGCCCTCAGAGGCCCAGCCCCATAACGAAATCTCCATACCCTCCCGTTAACTTGAACTCAGAAACATGTGCTGACCTCATCCTGCCCCTCAGGCCTTCCGACTCTGTGGTCCCCTGGTCTCCCCAGCCTGCCCTCTCCTGCCGCGCTGCACGCAGGTATTCCTGCCACGTGTGCTACCTCCAGGAGACTGCGAGAGGGTGGTGAAGAGAAGGGTAGGAGG